GGATGATGGTCCTTCTTGAGCATGTGATCAGCTGGTTCTGGTTGTCAGCAGCAAACTGGTTGATCCACTCTGAGAAGGTGCTATTTAAGAGACTGAGCTGAAAACAGCACCTCAGACTGAGGAAGTCTCTCGGATGAGAGACGAAACGTTTCTATATTTTTTTGTTTTGTTTTGTTTTTTGTTTTTTTGAGTGTCCAGAGGACCAGATTGAACTTTTTTGGATTTTTCTACCTGGATTATTGAGCATGCATGAGGATAACACACATAAAAGAAAAGTTAAAAAAATAAAAATGTGCAGGAGAGGTCATAAAAACCCTAGTTGGGCCTACAAGTGCCCTCCCCCCCTTGTAAAAAATAAATTAAAAAAAATCATAAAAGCTTTATACATAAGCTACACCTTACTTTAAACATAAGTGGTCATCAGATTAACGAAGAAATCTTTAATTAGAGTATTAGAGGTATAAAAGCATTTCATCATATTCTGAAAATATAGGCAGAAATAAAATGCTCTGTATAACAAATTAAATGATCCTATGGTTTCTTTTTTATTATCTCCAGTCACTAAAGGCAGGAGGACATTAATGTTTTTCTGTTATGTTAGTGAGTTATCTCCTGAACCACTGGGTGGATTTTAATGGATTTCTTAGAAAATATTTATAGGGTGCATATCTACAACTATTGATGATGGTCGTCACAGTTTTTGCTAAGGGGAAAAAAAAAAGCAATATAGAAAAATGCCCATTACTGGAGCATGCAGAAAACCTGTACTTGCATTGATTAAATGTGTCTGCATAGCTAGTCTGTGGTCAAACTGCTTGCACAATCAAATCAGAGACGTCTTCGGCATCAGCCACTACACCACCGTGCAGCCTGCATGATTCACTTATCATGAGAGGGACCAAAGGATTGCAACATGTGGATGTTTTTGTATATATTTATTGTTGAACATTTATTTATAGAACAACAAAGTAGGTTAAATCATGTCATCTGGACCAGTTTCTTTAAGTGAGAAACGATTCGTCCCCCATTCAGAGGACTTCCTCAGTCTACGGCCTGCCAGCCAGATGTGTCCCATAAGTAGCCTTCACTGCTGAGTTTCAAGACAACCTCCTGTTGGAATCTCAGGAGCAGACTTTTAACACGTGCAAACAGAGCACACCCATTCTAAACTATGTCATCATCAACAATCAAATGTTTTAGATGGCCATCTTGCTACTCACAGTTAGCCTGAGGACAGCCAAGGCATCCAACCAATATTTCTTTTATAGATTTTCTACTGTTTGCTTAACAGTTGGTTTGGGATTAAGTCGCTGCACCAATCCGTCTGTCGATCTCACGCTCCATTCATCCCTCACTCGTGAACAAAACCCTGAGATACTTGAACTCCTCCACTTGAGGCAGAACCTCACCCTCGACCTGAAGAGAACAACCCGCCCTTTTCCAGTTGAGGACAATGGTGAGAGCTGAAGATCACGGCAGGATGACGCCGACAGGACCACATCATCTGCAAAGAGCAGAGATGAATCCTGAGGCCACTGTCAGTTGGTTGCACCGAGAAATTCTGTCCACAAAAGTTATGAACAGGATGCCCTGGCAGAGTCCAACTCCCACCACGAAGTGGTCCGACTTACTAACGGCAATGCCAGCCGGTGACCCCCATGACCCTAAAAAGGAAGAAGCGGGTAAGGATAATGGATGGATGGATGTTCTGTAGGGTTTGTAAATATTGTGACTTTGGGCTACTTGTAATTTAGTCTACAGCATCACAACCATTAGAAAACCTCAAAGGATTATCAGAGATTCCTATAGTGGGTTTTTTTTTTCACTTTGTTTTGCTGCGCTCATATAAAAAATAAAATAATAAAATATAATTTGATCTAATTGTTTCAGTGTAAATGACAGGTAAAATAGCTGAATATAAAAATAAGGGCTAAAAGGACACCAGCAGATGGTGCAGTTTATTTAATCTTTCATTAAGTTCAGACACCAATGTTATAAAAATAGTTTGTTTGTTCTTATAAGTGTTGTGTTCGTCTGTATACTCCATTCATTTGTTTGTTGTATACTTGTCATGTGCTATAATAAAGATTTAAAAAAATACTTGTAGCTACTTGCAATCTGCCACAATAATTTTTTTTTTTTTTTAAATGTCGCATTTTGCTCAGGCGGATGTGACGTCATGGCCGCACCTGCAAAGACCGTTAGACCCGCAGATTTTATACCACTTTCAAAACGTAACCGCTGGGGAAGAACTGAAAATAACTTGTCAACTCTTGAAATCACTTCTAAATTTGACAAATAATTACAAGTATGTATTTAGTGCATTACATATTTTCTGATACTTGTGTAGTTTATTTGAACGGAAACAGAACGTAGCATTTTAGCCCGTTCTCTGTATTTTGTAAATTTTCAGACCGTATAAAAATGGACGGTGTCGAAGTTTGGGGTAAAAAATGTTGGACAAGCTGCTTCCACAAAAGAAACGTCTTAACATTTGTGAGCCTGGCGGGTGTCACCGTGGGTGAGTGGGGCTTCTCTTCTGTCATTTTGGACCATGGAAACTTTAAGCTAACACCGTAAACCCAGTACAGTGCGTTACAACAAAACTTTATAAACTATATATAGGCAACTACTGTTCATTGTGCTTAAATCTATGAGCTAACATATGTTGTAAGCTAAAAACATGTCATAAACTAACACTATTTGAAAGCTAACACAGACGTTGTATCTAACGGCATTTATAAGCTAAGCTAACCCAGCATGTTGTTATAAGCAGTGGCGGCTGGTATCAATGAGCTCTTAAAAACAACTTAAAAATAAATACATTTTAGAAGTAATGTTACATTTTGTTAACTTTACAACAAAACTGGTTTCAATCCCAGGGTCGTTCTGGGCTAAATTCTGACAGCCCCGTTCTGTTACTGTTCCTTCACGTTCAGAATGATTGACAGTCGTCTTGCCACGCCCCCTCGGTTTTGTTCGGCTCAGGGTCCGCCCACAGCCGCAGGATTCATCCAATGAGGATGGACGTGCCTCAACGCGAGCGTATGTGGGCGTGGTTTAGTGTAGACGGCTGTGTAACGTTTTGAACTTGGCCGCATATTAATTCATCTCTGTCCAAATAAAATCAAACCTGTCAGTTCGTTTTTATTTCTCTTATAGTTCACTCTGCGTTGAACTGAATGCTGTTTAATCTGCATAAAAACAAAACGCGCCCTGGTCAGAATCATCGCAGCGACACCTTGAATGGAGCTGCTGCTGAACATTACACCTGTAGCAAACACCTGTCGACACGGAGCTTATACACGCACAAGAGGGTTCTTTGAATTATTTTTCAAAGGTTAGAAATATGAGTGTGTTAAAGATCCATTTGCAAACAGTAAAATAAAACTCGCTCACGTCAGTTCAGAAGCGCAGGAGGTGGAGCACGTGTGTAAACAAAAATCAGCTGTTCCGACCAAATTCTAAATAATCTGCCTCCCCATGAAAATTGACACCAAATTAAACTGAATCGTCTCATTGATTTGACTTTACGTAGGAAAATAAAGATTCTCTGAAACAAACCAATTTCACCTATTTCATACGAGGAAGATCTCTCACTAATAATAATAATAATAATAATAATAATAATAATAATAATAATAAATGTCCAATGAAAAGTCCGCAATGCTCTCAAAAATATCAAGATATAAAGAAATTAATTCATTGGGGCCCATTCACCAGTCTTGGTCTTTTTAAAACAAAAACAAAAAGATGAGGAAACGTGTCAAAAAGTGTTGAAACCTTTAATGCAGGGAATCAAGTTGGACACCTGACAGAGGCTCCGTGTAAAAACTTGGTCTTTGATTTTCTGTGGTTGGTTGTTTTACGGTTGTCTTTGAGGTGTGTGTGTGTGTGTGTTTGTGTGTGTGTGTGTGTGTAGCTCCCTTTTTGATAAATAAGGCTTAGCTTAAACATTTCTGTGCAAAGTAGGACATTATCTATTATCTTCTGCCTGTCTGCAGTCTCCTGCACAGATAGAGCGTATTTCCACAGACACACACTCATCCACTGGCCAGCCACACACACCTGTTTGCTGCATATCTTCACACACAAACAACACACTGTCGACATATGATTTCTATGTAGTCCCAGACTACCCAAGGTTAATCATAACTTCCCTTCCTGCAGTCTTTTTCATGCATATTTCACTCCTTATCGGTCCCTTCGTGACCCTCAACTTCCCTTCGTGAAGTTTATTCTTTGGAATACCAGATCTCCCACAAAGCCCGTCCCTTCGTGACACAAAACACTGTATACAAAAGACAGTGAGGCTCCCGAACCCTCTGGTAAAGGTCACAGCTGCCTGATCGGAGGTCCCTCCTTGACCTCCCTTTGTCGACATAATTGTCAAACAAATAGGCCTAAAACCACTTGAGACCCCCGGTCTCCCTAAAACAATAAAGTGTTGAACCAAAACACGCTAGGATCACAAATCCTCCACAACGTCCAGTCAACAATGTTTCACAGATCCTCCAAAATGATAATAACCATAAAGTTAGCTCCTCCTGCGGGCTGTGTTCGTTTCCTTGTCACGTCTCAGATCCCACAGGAAGTAACCTGGACCCAAAGCAATTCAAGCTGAGGATTTAAAAAAAAGGGAGATCCTCCCCCTCGTGCACGATTTCAGGTCTTCCTGGTGGATCCAAGATAAGATGATGAGGGCGGCTCTCGAAGGACCAACATGTTAGGATCATTTATTATTATCCTTTCAATAACTCATTAAATAAACAGCCACACAGGAGAGGTAGATATTTTCTTAATCCCAGGTTTTAATCTCAAGATGGAGCAGTGTTGAAATACGAGCATCAAAATGTTCCATGATGCTCCGTCCCAGTCTGCTCACCGAGAGCCTGAAAGAGTCTTTTTATAAATGTTACCAGACAAAGGTGAGGTCAGAGGTCAGAGGTCAGAGACTGCTGCAGCCTCTGATCCACACAAACCTTTTAACATGCACACACATGGTAACATGAGTTATAACATTTGACTTCGGGAGGTGAAAAACAGCAGCACGGTGGAACAACGGGTAGAGCTGCTGCCTCTCAGCGAGCTGGTCCCTGGTTCAAATCCCATGTTCTCTCGGTGCATGTGTGGGTTTTCTCCGGGTACTCCAGTTTCCTCCCACAGACCAAGAACATGCATGTTAGGCTGATTGAACTCTAAATTGTCTCTAGGTGAGAGAGAGTGAATGGTTGTTTGTCTCTATGTGTCCCTGTGATGGACTGGAGACCTGTCCAGGTGTCCCTGTGATGGACTGGAGACCTGTCCAGGTGTCCCTGTGATGG